TTGATAATCTCCTACCTCTTTTGTCTGTAACTCACTATCATTTGTCTACTTGTTTTCCTGAGAAACTATCTTGTAGATAACAATATGTAAAACAATAACCATTGATAATTTCCTACCACTTTGTCTATAATTTGGTAAGCCCCCCCCATTATTATGTTATCCTTCTTTTACTCTTTAAAATAAAAAAAAAAGATGAGGCTTTTATAGGTAAATGGATGCAATTAGAGACCATACTCGTAAGTGAAATTAATAGGACCCACATGTGTAAACATCATATTGTCTCCCTAGTGTAAGAACATGAAAGTAAATAAAACCCAAAATGTGCAATGAATAATATGAAAGGGAAAGAAGTTGCTCAAAGGAAGGAACAACCGGGATGAGGGAAAGAAGAAAAAAAAAGTACTAAGGCTATATATATATATATGGACAGCTGGGATAACTGTACTGCTGATGTCTGCTGGTTTATTGAAAGGAAGAGTTAATGCTTAATTTTTTAATATATATTTTGGCCAACTTTGCATGCTTCTATCTGGTAATCTGAGCAACTGATGTGAAGACAACAGTATGCAATATAACAACCATTGGTGAATTCCTACCATCCTGTCTAGTGAAACTCCATATTGTCTCTAATGTTTTTTAAATTATTTTCTTATTCTCTTTAATGGTTTGATCAATCTTCCATTTGTACATCTGATAATCTGAGCAACTTTGTTGAAGGTAACAATATGTAATATAACAGCCACTGTTAATCCCTGTCATTTGGTTTGAAACCCCATATCATTTTTAATGTCTTTGCTTTGTTTTGTTTGTATTTTGCTATTGTTCTTTTTTTTTTTTTTACTATTCTCTTTAAAATAAAAAAATAAAATAAAATATCATCCTGGGACATCAAAGAAAAAAGCCTAGAAAGGTCAGTGGCTTGGATCACTGAAGACCTTAAATGCCATACTAAACAATTCAGACTTGATCTTGCAGGCAAAGATGCCCAGAGGCTTTTAATTAGAGGCAAGGCATAAATTTGTGAGGGTATTTTTGTTTTGGTTTTGTTGTTGTTAGCATTGTTACTGCCAATGACTGAACCCAGGACCTGCACCTGAGCTACATCTCTTTCCCCCTTTTTTTTATTTTGAGACAAAGTCTCACTGAATTGCTTAGTCTCACCTCAAATTTGTGATCTTTCTATGTCAGCCTCCCAGGGTGCTAGGATTATAGGTGGGGGCCACTACACCAGCTCAGATTTGTGTTTTGAGTAGATCACTAATCACTGAGTTGAATTTGAACTTGAGAAGGAGCAAGACTAGATAAGACTAGAAAGCCAGTTGGAAGGATACAGGGGTAAGTCAGGCTAGAAATGATAAAGGACTAAATTAGTTGAGTAGTAGATTTAGAGAAGAGAGAATGGGTTTGAAAACTATTCATGAAGATAATTTTATTAGATTTTAGGATTCTGAGTCAAGTGAGAAGAGAATGTCTCCTGGGCTTAGATGTGGTGCCACTCACTGAGAGAGAGCCAGCCCTGGAAAGAAGGAAGAGAAAGAGCCTGTGGGTCACTTAGGAGATACTCAGAAGGGTAATGGGTCTGATTCTCAGAAAGAACATTGAGCTGAGTGAAGCTAAGTATTTAGGAGTCATCAACATATAGACACAGAATAAACAGAAACATAATTATATTCTTATATAAATACACGAGAATGAAAAGAACAGCTGATGAAAGGACAAGCCCTGGGAATCCACAAAGATCAGGAGATGGATACAGGAAGAACACCCCACCAAGGAGGTAAAGAAGTGTTCAGAGTTTAGAGTAAAGGAAAGTGGAAGAAATTAATAGTGTGATAGCCAAGGTTAACAAGATTGCAAAGAGCACAGCTGGACATATTCCAGTTATGCAAAAGCTGAGACATCTGTTGAATTTGGTAATTAATGGATAATTGGTGATCTTAGCAAGAGGTGCTTCAGTTGTGGTGGAGGGTCAGGAGGGCAAACTACAGGGGGTGGGGATATATCGGGGGAGTTAGAATTTAAAAACAGAGGGTAAAGATAGTGGTGAAGCCAGGTGTGAAGGTACATACCTGTAATTCCAGGTACTCAGGAAACTAAGGGAAGGCAACCACAAGTTCAAGGCCAGCCTGAGGAAGACCCTTTCTCAATAAATAAAAGGGGCCCCCGAGTGTAGCTAAATGATAAAGCACCCCTGAGTTTAGTCCCAATAGCAAACCAAAAAAAAAGGAGGGGTGAGAGAGAAAAGAGGGAAAGAGAAAGAGAGAAACAGAGAGAGGTGCTGGTGAGAAGGCCTATAACTCAAAAGGACTTTTTAGAAGTTCGAGCACTCAGACATATTTGTCTTGAGCTTTCCAAGAAGTCAAGAATATAAGAAAAAGGAAAAAATAAAGCAAAGTCTTGGGAGTGAGGGGAAGGAAGAAGAATCAAGAGTGTAAGCAGATGGATCAACGATAACCTTCTCTGGGGTCAGGGAAAAGTTATGTCCATTAGTGAGAGAGAGAGGTGAATAGGGAAGGGTTTAGGAGTACTGAAGAATCAGACTAGTCAGAGAAGATAGGAGAAAATGAATGAAGGGAGAATGGCTTAGAGAGAACTTCTTGAGTCTGGCTATGCTTGGAGACTAGCCACTTTGCAAGAGCTATGATTTTCTTTTTGTGGTTCTTTGTAACCTAGATATGAGATGAGAAGACAGTTTGATAATTAAGGGTTTATGCCAAGCTACTAGGGCAAGAATGGGCAGGCAGTGGGTGAAAATGCAAGGGAATCAGTGGAGCTAGAGAGAGCAGTTCATATTGACCACACCAGCTCTGGGCAATTTAAAGAAAATTATGTTTGCAATGGCTGTCGTGGACAGAAACCTCCAGAGTTGGGAAGATGAGAAATTAGATTTGTTCCAAGTGATGGCAAGAACCAGACTGCGGCCTTGGCAGTATTTGAAGAAGAGGACAATGAAAGTCATTGAAGGCATGGTAATTGAATGGATGCCTCCAGGGATAATGGCAGGAATTTAGGTAGAACAGAAGGAAGTGAACGAAGTACCAGAAAGTCTTCACATGATAAGGGGTAGTAACCCAAAGATGTGTAGGTAGTGGTAACCAGGAAGGGCAGATGGTTAGGGGCATGTTTGGCATCTGACAAGCATGAGCTTTCATAGAAGGTTGGTATAGAAACAGCAGTGGGAAACCGGGATGATGCCACCTCCAGACCCCCAGCCCAGTAAAGTGTAAGTGTGACAGAATAAAAAGTCTAAATTAGCAAGGTCTGCAATGAAAGGTGGCTCAGGAAGGAGAGCTTTCATGAAGACTGAGGCAGGGGGAGAAGCTTGTAGTGTACCCCCAACCCCAAGCCAGGTGGCACAGAGGAGTAGAAAGAATTTTCAAATGCAGTGGCTTTAAGAGCTGATTACAGCCTCAGCTCCCCTGCCTTGAGACTTAAGTTCTTTCACCTCTCAGCTCTTCCGATATATAAAATGTTCTTCATGTGGAAAATGGAAATGCTGATACCAACTTGATCTTCCCACAGGAGTGTTAAAAGGATCAAATGAAAGAAGGGATATGGAATCATTTTGGAAACTAAATCATTCCCCAGGTATGTAGGGAATTGCTGTGACTGTCATCTTCCTCAGGCCTGCTTCTGTTAGGGCCCATCATGATGGCCACCTTCCATGGCTCAGTGGCCACTGATGGTCCCCAGTGCTCCTTTGGAACACTTTGTGAGCCTATCTGCCGGTTGCAGACTAAACCTCTGTTGACCCTAAAGAAGTTCACAAGGCTATAAGACTAATTGATTGGCCCTACAGTTGTCTCAAAGAATTTAGATGTTAAATCTATCCCTTTTCTTATTTCACTGATGCAGGTGATTAGGCATAGGTTGTTAGTCTGGCCCCTTTGGATGTGCCTCACCTGCCTCAGTCATTCTTAGACTGAGACAGCCTTCTACACGGGCAGCTGCCACATGTAGACATTGGTGGCGGTGGTGACCCTGAGGCTGTCTGCAGAAATGAGAAAAGGAAAAGATAGAGACAGAGCACTAGTGTACCTCCTTTCTAACTGTGTGGTCTTGGAAAAGTCACTTCATTTCTCTGGGCCTCAATTTTCTCCTCTCTAAAGATAGTGATGATACAGTCTTCAAAAGCTGTTTTAAAGGTCACATGAGCTGATAATGGTGGGGTTCTTTATAATTTGTAAAACACTATTCACATAAGACAGCATTTATCCACTACCACTCTGCTACATGCTACCATTGTCTCTTGCCTGGATTATTTTGTAACTTCTTTTTTAACTGATCTCTCTTGTTCTGTCCTTGCTCCTGTAAAGTCTATAACTAATACAGACTGTGATCCCTTTTGTAAACTGGTGCATGCCACTGCCTCCTTAAAATATACCCATCACTAAACAAAGCCAGTGGTTTTCATTGGCATACAAAGTTCACTGTTATCTATTCCACTGTGTTCGTGCTCCCCTTAGGACACACAAACATGCCTTTCAGGTCTTAATTCCTGCCACACGTTCTCCCTCCTTCCGATCCCTCTGGCACACTGACCTTCCTGGTAATCCTAAACATGCCATTCAGTCTTGTTTCTCAGATCTTCACTCAGATGTCATCACTTCAAGGACACCCTCCTGACCATCACAGCTTCCTGAGTTACAGCTTCCTACCACCTGCTCTCACGGAGTTTTTGTCCTAACAGGAGCAGGCAGACGGACAAACACATAAATATATAATTGTATTATATATGTGAATCAACTTAGTCCATTTGGGCTGTGATAACAAGGTATCCAAACCAGGTGGCTTATAAACAGCAGACATATATTTCTCCCAGTTTCAGATGCTAGAAGTCCAGCATCAAGTTCCCAGCAGATCCAGTGTCTGATTTTAGACCTGGTTCAAAAAGGCCATCTTCTCAGTGTAACCTCACATAGCTCAAGGGTAGACCTCTCCCAGATCTCTTTCATATAAAGAATACTAATCTTATGCATGAGGGCTCTAACCAAAGGTCTCAATAATATCACTTTGAGGTTAGGATTTCAGCATATGAATTTGAGGGTAACACAGGTGTTCAGTCAATAGGAAGAGATGTGTGTGCCTGTGTGTTTGTATAATCCTCTATGTGGATGTATATATAATATTGTTTTCTGTGTGTGGGATTCCTAGGCCCTGATTAGCGAAATTACTAGATGGGCCAAGGAGGACACATTCATGCATATAGATGGCCTCCCCATGTCTCCTCTGTGCTTTCCAGTCTCCACAGTTTTTCCTCACATAGATAGCATCACAGCATACTTATAGAGCAGGGCAAAGTGACTAGTTCACAGAGCCTCCCCCAACTTCCTGCCCACCAACACCTCTGAAAAGACATTGGGATTTCATTGGGATTTCTACACAGCCGTGCTTGCTGTAGCACACTTCTGTGGTCTGGTCAGTGCCTAACCTCGAACTTGAGAGAAAATTTGCCAGAATCTCTTGCACAGAAGGGAGGGGCTGGGCTAGGCCAATTATATGTGCCATGACATTTAGATCCAAGACCCAGAATAAAGGAAGACAGTAGTAGATTCTACGTTCAGAAGGGCCCATATTTACTCTGTCACTTAGTATTTATGGGATAGGGCATCTCCAGGTGCTGGGGATATAGATGTAAGTAAAACAAGTTCCCTATCTCAGTAGAGACATTATCTGGTAGGAGAGTCAGAAAAAAATAGACAACTATTATGTGATCATTGATTCACTGAACACTCTGTTTAAATATCTCCTGCAGCAGGCCAGGTACTCTTTATGTGTCAGAGATAGAGCATGGAACGTAATGCAGCTTATATTCTATAGAGGACAAGATAATAAAAATAAATGAGTATATAAAATTATTCAGGGTGGTGATGTGTGCTGTAGGAAGAAAAACTAAGGGTAACTGGTTGAGAGTGATTGTGAGGAAAAACGAGTACATTTACCAGCTCAGGGCAGGCTTTTCTGAGGAATCAGTATTTATGATAAAACAAAATTATTGAGGAGTCAGGCATGAAAAGGTCTGGACAATAACATTCCAGGCAAGTGAGAGGATAAACACTTGGTCCATGCAGGAAGTAGGAAGGCTAGTGCCTCTCATTCAGTTGAGGGGAGAGGTTAAACCACACCATAAGAAGGAAAGTCCAGATGACAGAGTACCTCTCATCCTGTGATCAGCACCAAAAGTTTGGATTTCATTTTATGTGCAATGAGAGGCCATTGCCATGAGTTTGTAGAGGGAATTGACATGATTCGATTACTGCTTTTTAAATTTTTTTTTTGGTTGCTTTACAAAGAATATATTACTATGGTGGTGGGATGAATAAGCATGAGAAAGAGTAAATGCTTTGGGAGATCATTTGTTTCCAGATTAGAACAGAAAAGTTTCATAAAGGAGCTCATCCTTGAAGCTAAGACCTTAGTAGCTAAGCTGGAGTTCGCTGGAAGAAAAGGAAAAATTGAAGGGAGACAAGGGGGCACGTTTTAGGCAAGGGATGATCAAAATACAGACATCCTATATAGCCTATAGGGAAAGTGGGAAGAGCTCTATCTGAGTCAAGACTGAGATAGAAGCTATAAGCAGAGCACCAAGTTAACATTGAGATCCCTGCAACCAAGGCAAACTCTGTTTTCTGCCTTAGTGTATAAGGTTGTAATGAGGTCACCTATTCTCCAGGCATTAGAGGGCCCAGAGTATTATCTACTACAGTTTTTCTCTCAGGTCCCCAAGGATTTGACTCTAGTCTTTCTCAATTACTAGCATCTCTCTAGAAATGGGCCCTGGAATGCAAGCAAAAGCAGTCCACCCTCCTCCTTTATCCAACCCAAGTGGTCCCTTTACATCACAGGCATCTATGTCTCAGGTTCAGGCTGAATTGCAGCCTTGGTGCAGAATTCCTCTGGATCATTTGCAACAATCAGCTCTACCCTGCAAAACAAAGATTTGACTTTCCCTGTGTGGAAAAACTTTTTACTCCTTAGGCTTCTGTTTCTCTTCTCAGCCCTAGTGCTGCTCTGAGCACCACCTACCTGCAAGGCCACTAAATGAGCATGGGGAGTGGTGGAGATGTACCGGCCAGCCCCTGCGCCTTGTGATGGTGCCCTTTTTTCTGCAGGGTCAGACCGATACCTGGAAAGCCGGGATCCCCCTCGACTGAATGGCCGAGACCCTTCCCTGTGGACAGTGGAGGATGTGATGCAGTTTGTCCGGGAGGCCGACCCTCAGCTTGGACCCCATGCTGACCTCTTCCGCAAACATGTAGGTACCCCTGCCTGACCTCTCTTATGTTTGCTGGGAGTTTTGCTGCTGTGATATATAGACTCTTAAAGGTCATAGTCTGTTTGTTCCAGGTTACTTGAAACAGAACATGAGAGATACCAGGAAAATTTAGAAATAAAATCTGGGATCTCAGACAGACCTCAGTGGGCATTGTATTCACCTCATTCTTTCAGTGTAGGACTGCTTTGGCCACATTCCTACTCAGTTTATGGCCTGAGGCTCAGTTTTAGGCACAGGGACCTGAGTCTTCTGTTCCAAGAGTGCTTGCTGTCTCATCTACCTTGGCATGAAAATCAGGGGCCTCAGCCCAAGTCGAAGAATCCCTTGCCCCCCAGTCCCAACTTTATCAGTCCTTAGTCATCTGCTTGTCCCCCTATGAGCCTACACTCTCTCTCAAGGGACCAGTTGGTTCCGTGGCTAGGCATTGCTCCCAATCCCTGTGCTCTGACCATACCCTGATTTGGGGCTCAAACTTATGACTATAGCTGTTCTTGCTTAGTATTGTTCTTCCCTGTGGGCACGCAGAGCAGGCAGGGTGCCTGTTAATGAACCTTCAAATCTTTTAAGCCAGATGGGTTTGTAGTGGGCTCTCAAGCAGGGCTGAAAATCTCACAGTTCTTCCGTGAGTACTTCTTTGACCCAGCTCAGAGAGGCTTCTGCTCCTCAGGACAGGTGATACATCACAGAATATCAGTTAAGGATCAGTATAAACCAGTGGTGGTGAACCTGTGGCACACATACCACAGCTGGCTATTTGTTATAAATGAAAGCTCTAAAAGGTTTGCCATCACTAGTATAAATGGTTGGTGCAGGTACATGACTTGGAGGTTTCCTAGGAGAGGGAGAGATGAGCTGACTCTCCGAGACTTGCGGGGCAGAACTCCCAGGCAGCAGAAAAAGTAACCTGGTGCCAGCTATGTGAGAAGCCTAACCTGCTGGGTCTTAGCCCCTGGCTGAAAAGGAAAACAGGCAGGTTGCAGTGTCTCAGCAGAGTGACTGCATGCCATGTGGTTGGCACTTTTTTGGGGGGTCCTTATCAGAATGTGGGGAAGTCAGACCAACCAGGTTCTGATGGTGCTGTCCCTTCTGTCTCCTCTGACCCCCAGGAGATCGATGGCAAGGCCCTGCTTCTTCTACGCAGTGACATGATGATGAAGTACATGGGGCTGAAGCTGGGGCCAGCACTCAAGCTCTCCTTCCACATTGACCGGCTGAAGCAGGGCAAGTTCTAAACAGGCATAGCCTAGACAACCCAGTGGTCAGGCAGATGAGGCATTCTTCTCCCAGAAAGGAGGGCCAGCACCCTATTCCCAGGTGCCTCAGGGGGGCTCTGGGCCACCTCAAGGCTCCAGGAGTTGGTGTGGAGCTACCACTGCTGCCCCCTTCCTACCATGGTATCTCCTTCCATGAAGGACCCAGGAGGGGAGAATGTAGGCCCAGGGCTGGCACTGCTCCTCCCCTCAACCCTGAGTGGCTGAGGTCCCCTCTATTTATTTCTCAGGCCTGGCTGACCTCTCACCAGGAGTTTAGACTGAACACCTTCTAAGTTAAGAAGAGGCCAGTCCATGGGGCCTCAGAAGACCCTCATACCCAGGCCCCTCACCACTTCCTGGGCTTGGTGTGGTGTCCCAGCACCTCCCAGCTCCTGCCTTCTCACCCGATTCCCAGACTCCAAACTCATGGTGCCAACCTCTACCTTTAAAAAAATTATATGTTTTCTTACTGCTAATTTATTGTTTCTGGCACCTGGGCAAACTCTCTGGTTACTACTCTTCTTGTACCAGACACTTGAGTTTTGGGAGGAAGGAGACCACACTGCCCTGGTCCCAAAGAAGCTCTCTAGATAGATGCAGCCTCTCTTCATTGGATACTGCTCTAGGGCAATTTCTTGTTGGAATGGACAGGCTTACATGCTCTGCGTGGGGAGGAGAGGGTCTTGTCATCTTCCCCTCTTCCCCCGCTGGGCTCTTTGCAGCCCAAAGCCCATTGATGGGATGGTAGCAGTCCTTCACACTGTCCCAACTTCTGCTTCTTGCCCTAGCCAGAGATGCTGCAGAAAATTGGGCCTAATGATTTTAGGCTAAGCAGACTCTAAGGTTGGGGAGGGAATAGTCTCCAGCTGGAGTAGTTCTATTCCTCCACTGGCCATGTGCTTCCTTGCAAGCAAGTCAGCAGCACAGCTGCTCCTGTTGCCATCTGGACTTATTTTATGTCAATTTGTTTATAAATAAAAACCAATGCAGATGCCAATATCTTTTTAATGAGTTGACAGCTAAATTGTTGTGTATGCAGTGAGCAAGTCACTGCCCTTCTCTTGGTCTTGGTGTTCTCATGCCTAAAATGAGGAGCTTGGATCATATGATGCCTCCGAGCTCTTCCAGTGTCAGCAGTCATAAAGAACTGGTTATCTTCTAAATGTTCTCTGGCCTCAGCACCACACAGGGCCCCTGAAAGATCATGTATGAATCCAGCCTCTGCCCTCGAAGGGCCCCACTCCGGTGCGCTAGACAGTGATGAGCACACAGCTGTGCCAAGGAGAGCGGGAAGCAGTGTCAGAGCCAGCTGTTCCCAGGACTCCATGGCTGGGTGCACCCTCACCTTCCTGGGGTGAGGACAGTGCAAGGTAGCCTGCACTGTACCCAGCACTTACTCAGCCCAGGGCCACACACTCGGCCCACCGCAGGGCGTGTGCTCCGCAGAAGATGGAGAAGGGGAGCAGCTGCTCAGCAGAGTCCAGCCACGTCATAACACTAACACAAACTGCTCCACAGGAATTAAAATTATCTTTATCGTCACGACAAACTCAGTGTACAGAGGAAGAAACAAGTTCAGATCACACAGGCAGGGAGTACCAAGGAATCTGACCCCAGCGCAGAGTGCTAGCCAGCCCAGCTGTTCACTGTGAGGCTTTGGGTGGGTTCTTCCCCTTCTTTGGGTCTACCTAGCTATGAGGGTTTGGGTGAGGGACTGTGGAACTGGCCGGCTGTCACCAGTGACTGGTTCTGACCGCATAACTAAGGGTTAATATCCTTTCCACTTGGCCACTGCAAGGTTCTAAGCAGTCACACTGAAGTAGTCAGCATCAAGCCTGCCAGACTAGAATAGCCCATTTTCCAGACTCCTGGACATGGGAGCCTGGAGGCTGTGTTGTTCATTCAGGGTTCTCCCACAGAGGGCCCGACCAAACTCTGCCAGTGAACTTCTCGCCCAAGAGATCCAGGATACGTATTACCAGTGCATGTGGCGGGCCAGATGTGCTGCAAAGCCAGGTGTCATGGCACAGAACAGCTGTACCCCATCTTCTCTCTTGCCACCAAGAGTGAACAACTTGCTGGTGAATGGTTTTTGGAGGGCTTATTAAGTGCTGAATTGTTTACGTGCATTATCCTTTATAAACCTTGTACCAACTATATAGGATAGTCATGTTCCCCCTGTGTTAAGGTGCAGTCAATGCTTAGAGAAATGAAGTTACTTTCCTCAAACCCCATGACTAAAAACAGGTGCAATCCCTCCGTTGCCTGCTCCCACTATAGAACCAGGGAACCATTGATTCAGGACTCTCATGGCCCAGGCGTGGCCTGGCATTCACTGTGACAGGAAACAGCCTTCCAGCAGGACAGCGCAAGTGAGGCTGCCCAGGTAACAGCTCTCGTACAAGGGTACAAGCCATCAGCTTACAAGCATTGTGTCCAAAGGGAGCGAAGTCTCTTTGAACCCCCTGTAAGGAACTTACCTCCTAAGTCAGTGCACAGAGAAAATCGTGGTGTGTCCATAGAACTCCAAGTCCAGATAATTTACAACCAGGGGTCATCGTCACCATAAATAATAGTGCCTTGAAGTAGTTGTTTCCCACAGGATAGAAATAGAAAGGTAACCAAAGATAAAGTATACAAGAAGAAAAGGACTTGTTAACCTCTAACCTCTGAGATCAGAGTTGAATGCTGTTTAAGAAAAATAAAACCAAAAACTTCAGCTTATGAAATTGTTTCACAGAGCAAGGCCTTCCAGTGATAAACAGAAGTCTCTAAAGCAGTGGGGCTGGCCTTAGGCAGACCCTGTTCACAGTCACTTCAGTGCAGAAGAGGCCATTCCATGCACCCCAGCACTCCAGTAGCCTGCAGAGGCAGAGGAAATATGGAAAAATGCAAGTCAGAGACAGACGCCTCATGACCACAGCGTCACACACATGCACACACACACAATCACACACACACAAGCAACACTGCGACAGTGCTGAGCAGATCAGGAGGAAAACACCGAGTACTTCAGGGAATAACAGACGTGTCAGGGCCTGGGAATGTACCCCAGGTGTACAGCACTTACTTAGCATGTGCCAGGCCATAGGTTCCATCCCCAGCACCACCAGAAATGAAATACAAAAGAACCTAGGCTCCAGTTAAGACTGGTCAAAGAAGGACTGGTAAGAGCCATTTCTGGAACTTTCTGTCTCTTCCCCCTCTCTGGTACCTCCTTCTTCCTAGCCAGGAGACACATGCCCTCTCCACTGCTCCATTGTCCAGATTGTTAGTCCTAAGCAGCAGTGTCCACAGTAGCCCTCCCTGGTCTTTGTGGGACTTCAAGATCTTTCTCTGGGGCAGGCACTGGTGGGCCAAGAGGGCACACTATCCCTGCTGGATGCCCCAAGCCCTCCTTGGGAAGGCCTGAAAATGACTTGCTCTTACTTTTGATCACAGCCGAAAGTATGAAACTTGAGAAGAGATAGTCAAGGCGCTTGATGTGCATCTGCCCTGCTGGCCCCCAACATTTTGCAACCCACTTACTCTACTAACCCCAGGTCATTGCAGCTGGTCTCCCACCACATTCCATGAGGCTTCAAGCCCCCACCCAGGGACAGTCACAGCCATGCACCAGAGCTGTACACCTGTGTACTCAATACCAAAGCCACTACAGATGCTCCTGGAGTCCAGCAGCCAACAGCAAATGGTACAGAGTGGGCTGTTCAAGTGGGCTCTCTCAGAGACAGCCTGTGAGTGGCTGGTGCTGGACCATCTCTACAGGAATTTCGTGTTGTGCTACACAGGCACTAAAGATAGCTGAAATGACATAGGCCCCAGGATCCCGAAGGCTGAATCCACGGTACTCCTCCCAAGAGTCTGCTCTTTAACATCCCCATCCTCTCACAGGTGGCTCAGCTCATTTCCCTCACCTGTCCTCTGCCTCTTCACTGGCTTCCCTGGAGAATCAGTATGGACTCTGATTTGGGAGCTGGAAGGCAGAAGGAAAGTAGACATCCTTGATGTGGATGCAGCACTAGTAGCCATATGGACCCCAGTGGACACTGCAGATCATGTGAAAAGAGGCATTCCACCACATGTCTATGTCCTCCATCTTTGACTCCCAACTCACATTCCTAGATAGTCTTACACTGCTGGGTCTGTTTTGTTTTGTTTTGTTCCCTCCAGTGCCAAAGGGACTTTGTCAGTCAGGTCACAGATACGGAGTGAGAGGATTAGAAGGGACTGCATGTCCCACATTCTGTACCACGCTGAGCTACCTGCAAAGTGCCAAATGAAGCCTGGGATGCTGTAAATAGCCTGGTTCTCATGCAATCTGTATTTAAGAGTTTATTTTTTAAATGTATTTAATGTTCACAGTAAAAGACAACTTTTACCCACTTCCAGAAAGAAGGGAGCTGATGCTCAGCTCACATAAGGCTGTTAGAGGCTGCAAGAGACAGGTTACGGTGTGGCTTAAAGAGATTTGCCAGTAAGAACAGGAAGCAGTGACACCGGTCAGCCAGGGCTGTCTTATGCAGGACAGCCACCCAGTGCAAGGCTGTGAGAGAGAGCGGCTCTGTTCCTGTGTCATCCACCAGCGTGCTTCTCGTGGTCAACTGTCTCTTTCCGCGCTACCCAGCGTGACTTGAGTTAACATCTCTGGGCAGCTCGTTGGCCAGTTGCCGTGAGAGCAATTCATGGATGGCGGAGTTAAGGAAGAGTTGAAGGCAGAGAAGCATGGAGAGCTTCAGGCTCTCCCTCTGTGACTCAGGCAGCTGTGGAGAATGGAGACCCAGCTGCAGGGCTGGGCAAGCAGAGGGCACCTGCCTGCTCTCCTCAGAGCCTCACATTGCTGCCACATGGGGCAGGGCTCTTCCTTGGCTCTTCTCAAGCTCCCTACACCCAAGCTTCTACCTTCAAACCTAAGAGAAACAAACTCCAGGAACATCTTCAGCACAGTTTCCATGAGGAAAGCAGCCATCACACTTCAGCGGAAGGATCACCAGCAGCCTCCACCCTCAATCACCATAGCCAGGGCTTCCAGAAGTAGCGTGTGAACTGCACTTAGCAGTGCCCCCACCCCCAAGGAGCGGGTGCATCACCAAGTCTTGGTTCCAGTCAAAGAACAAGGATGGCCTTGTCCTTCAAAGAGATGGCAGTGCTTAACCAACTTTCCAGGACTCTCACAGACCTTGACCACTGTCTGGAATAGAGAAGACCCCAGCCTGTGCATTTTAGTCCATCCTGGGAGCAGCTAGACCTGGTCAGTGCTCAGTGAAGCCTGGGATTGGTGACCAAAGAGGGAGGTGAAGGCTTTAGGGCCAAAAGAGGTAGCAAGTAGTAGCCTGTATGGGCACTAGGGCCTGGAGAAGGATGATATAATGGATTCTGGAAGCTGCCCAGAGGGAGCCCCATGGCCACACTGTGGCAGGTGAGCACCTGCACCTGTGTACAGTGTGTGGCTAAGCCAGTAGGGGAAGGGAAGTGGATCTCCATCTGACTTCCCTGACCCCACCTGCTTGTGGTAGGCCATGAAGGGAAAGCATTATGGACCCTCATGAGATCACAGAGGCAGCTGTGCAGGCCCCGCCCACTTCCTAGGACCCTGGTTCTTGTTCCTCCAGGCCAAGCTCCAGCAACCCTGAGAGAGCCAGGGATGTAGCTCAGTGGCACAAGTGCCTGCCTGGCAAGCGCAAGGTCCTGAGTTTGATTCCTGGTACCAAAAAAAGAACCCTGAGAGCAGCTGGCTAGGGGCCAGGGGACTCTGACAGCTCAGGGCTACCACCTCCTGTGCTCCCCGAGAAGCCAACAGGACATGAAAGTCTTCGGCCTCCTCTTGCCTTCCATTACTGTTTGCCCTGAATGCCCCTTTCCAACCAGAGTGGCTCCCAGGCCCTCAAGGATCCAATCTGAAAAGATGCAGACTGTTGGTACCTACTACACAAGCTGGAGGCTGGGGGTGTGGGTGAGTGGAGGGCTGGTGTGTGTGCCTGTGTGCACAGCTCAGAAGCGAGTTTCCTGGGCCTGGAGCAGGGCGCAAGGGCCCAGCTCTAAGCCTCCTCCAATTTATATAAGATGGCATATATATATATATATATAAAAGCCATCTTTCCAGAGAGGGAACACATAGCTTTTGTCAGTGTGCCAAAAAGCATAAGAACCCTCGGTCCCAGCCCGGACCAAGTGCAGAGCCCTTCCCACCTCACAGCAGGTTTTAGACCAGGAAGAAGACAGGAGCTGCTGGCCAGCCCTCAGAATCCTGGGCTAAGGCCTCTTTTCCAGAAGCCCCTCTTTAAATGATTTCTCTGGTGCTGGTGTCTGGGGGCAGCAAAACTCTAGTTGGCAGGAAATCACAAGGGCACTTAGGAGGCCCCTTTTCTGTGGATTGGGGACAGAGGACAGGACCCCTGGAGGATTGGCAGGATGGGGTAGGTGGGGCCCCGAGAGACTGAGTTCTGTTTCTTCCTGCTCCTTTGGGCAAATCCTTTCGGTCTGCCCACAGGCTCTGTGGTCTAGCTCCATTCTGCCCAATTCTTTCCTGCCATAGGCCCCGGGCAGGTGGCAAGCCCCTTCCTGCTGGCCCTTTCCCATCTGCCATCCCTCCCGTTTCTCAGGACCTGCCCAACTTCTGCCAGGCTGTGAGCCTCCCAGGAGCCTCCATACCACTGAATCCCTCGGAAGACCCTGGGCTCTGGGAGGAGCCATCCGCAGTGAGGAATCTCAGAATCCCTTCTAAGGAAGACTCCCATGGCCACCAGGAAGGGATCAGCACGAACACCATTTTGGGAGCCCACTATGGAGTCCCAGGACAAGCAGCCCCCGCCGGAGCTCCCCCCAGGAGAGTCCCTGCTTGAGGACTTGGATCTCGAGGTGGTCCCTGACACACACACTCTATATGTGGGCCACCTAAACCCCCAATTCTCAGTTCCTGTGCTTGCCTGCCTGCTGCGAGACACCTTAGAGCGGCTGGAGCTGCCGGTGGCACGGGAGCACATCCAGGTGGTGAGGCGTCCGCGGAATGCCTACGCGCTGGTGCGGGTGGCCGCTCACAGGGCTGCCCTGGCCTCCCTCCACAGGCGCCTGCAGATGGCCTTGGAGGAGCAGCTGATCCTTAAAGAGCTGACAGCTCGTGGGAAGGAGCTGGTGTTAAGTGAGGGGTGGGGGCCCCTAAGCCGCAGAGAGGTAAGTGAGACTCCCCCAGGTGAGCCCCAGAGGTGCCCTAGGGAAGCGCCTTTGTGTAAACGGCCAGACGGCCTGGGGACACATCTGCAGACTCGGGTGCTGCTGCTGCTTCACTGGCCTGAAGCTGGCACTGTTGCTTTGCCCAGAGGGACTCTGGCCCTTACAGGTACCTCCAGCAGAGCCTGTGAAGAAAGGCCAAGCGTGGGCTCCTCCCCAGCTCTTCTGCATCCCACTCCAGGGCAGGGCAGCCCAGGCACACGGGAGTCCTCCAGGACCCACCCCATTGTTGGGTGGACGAACACCGATGCCCACTCTATGCTGGGGAGGGAGGGCAGAAACTAGAGGTTTGGGCCCTGCCCTCCACCCCTGTGCAGAGCCACACACCATGAGTCACAAAGCTGAGGTGGCTCCGGAGATACAAGCGGGTTTTTACTGCTCTCTGGGGACAAATGGACAGGAAATATGAAATCCGGACTGGGACTTAGGAACCTGAATAGGCATTCAGGGGAAAGAATGTTAAAGGCAAAAGAACCAGCGCATGCGAAGGGGTAGGGTGGAGAGGATGTCATATTTTCAGGGCAGGCTGCTTGTTGTCCCTAGAGCCCAGGCTGGAGGCTACAGGGATGCTGAGGAAGGAAGCAGGGCTGTCATGCGGGGCCCAGGTCCCCAGGGTTTTGATCAAGGCAGGGCAGGGCCGAATCTGCTGGGGGCTGGAGGTCGCCATACAGATGATCTCGTTTTTTCCTTCTCCTTGGGCTTCAAACTGTTGCAGAACTAAACAACTCCACCTTTCAACACGTGTGCGCCCACTTTCCTGTTCACATGACTGATCCTGTTTCTGAGACTGAGAGTTTATCTTCCCTGGGGAGCTGCAGGGCTAGCAGGGCAGTGCCTCGCATCTCCGTGCATCAGCCCACACTGAGCTCTCAGCCCCAGGGAGGCAGTCACAGCCCAGAACCAGGGAAAAGCTTTTAGCAGGGGAGTGACTCTCACTTGTATTAGAGTAGGCAAGGGGGATGGATGGGGAGAGGGATCTGTGAAAGACAGATTGATGAGGCCCAGACTAGCAAAGTGGTCACAAGGACTTCAGTGCCCAATGGCCTGGAACACAGCAGAAGTAAAAGGAGGGGAGAGGAAAGCTGAGATTTAGAAGGATGTGCCAATGGCCCCAGAAGTGGCAGGCAGAGGTTCCAGGGAGATCAGGAAAGGAGTGAATCTGTTTAGGGACTTGCAGCTCTGCATAGGAAACCTTAGGGAGCTGAGGTACCTTCTGGAATCACCTGGGCCTTGGCCTCAGGCCCATCTGCAGTCCAAGTGGGAAAAAACTTGCCCACATGTGTGTCAGCCCTCAGCCCAGAGAAAGACCTATCTCTTCTTACCCACACAGCCTGCATACCCAGGAAGATCCCTGCCCAGAAGCTGGTGTAGACCCTTGATCCAGCAGGGCAGCCCCACACTGGCCACAGACGGGTGGGCAGAATGGGGTCTCTCAGCCTGGGAGGAGACCAGATGCCCATGGGTCTAGATCTTAGGCATGGGTGCAGTCGGAGGTGTGGCAATCTGTCTCAAGGCAGGGACTCCTGACCTCTTCCTGGACACATACACCCTGTTCTTGATCCCTACCCCAGCAGGACAGTGGCCCAAGCTTGGGCCCCAGCCCTAGTCCCAGTCCAGGCTCCAGTGTCCCACTGCCAGCTTGGCCTGCAAATTCTCCACCTAATAGGCCCTGGGCCTGGCGGCGGCAGATCTCCCAAAACCGGCCCAGGGGTGTGTGCTCGGACAGCGCCATCACACATCAGAAGATCCTGGGCCAGGAGCAGCTCTTCCAGGGAGCCTTCCTGGGCAGCGAGACAAGGAACATGGAGTTCAAGCGGGGCAGCGGGGAGTACCTGAACCTGGCCTTCAAACACCATGTGCGGCGCTATGTGTGCGCCTTCCTCAACAGCGAGGGGGGCAGCCTGTTCGTGGGTGTCGAGGACAGTGGCCTGGTACAGGGCATTCGCTGCAGCCACCGTGATGAGGACCGTGCACGTCTACTGGTGGACTCTCTCCTGCAGGGCTTCAAGCCTCAGGTCTTCCCTGACGCCTACACCCTCACCTTCATCCCTGTCATTAGTACCTCCACCACCAGCGTGCCCCTCAAGGTAAGCCTGCAGGACAGGTGGGTCTGTCATCTGTCATCACCCACAGGATGGTGGCCCGTGCTGTCGAGCAGGCAGTAGGGGCGTAGGAGGTTGGGGAAAGGAGCCCGGGCACAGTGAGGAGCAAGCAGGGTGGACTAGGGCTGCCACTGCTAGGTGCAGGCCCTGCCAGAGCTGCCACTGCCCCTGCCAAGGTCCTCCGCCTGACTGTGCACACCCCCAAGGCCCAGAGTGAGCCGCAGCTGTACGAGACTGACCAGGGAGAGGTGTTCCTGCGGCGCGAGGGGAGCATCCAGGGCCCGCTGCCCGTCAGCACCATCCAGGAGTGGTGCAGACAGGTGAGGGGCTTAGGCCAGGGGAGGCTGGGCCAAGCTGAACACGGCCCCTCCAGACCCTCAGTGAGCAGTCTGGTCCTCATCACCCCAGGAGCAGACAGACACAAGGGCTTGGATTAAAGCCCGTCCTCACTGGGAGCTGAGGAAGAGGCCCAAGTGTGTCTCTGTCTCTTGTCTCTGTCTTTCTCTTTCTCTCTGGTACTGAGGATTGAACCCAGTGCCTTTGCACTGACTTATATTCCCAGCCATTTTTTATTTTTAAGACAGAGTCTAAGTAAGTTGCCAGGCTGAACTAGAATATGTGATCCTCCTGCTTTGGTTTCCCAGAATGCTGGAATCAAAGTCTCTTTTTAAAAGTCTGTGTCCTAGTTTCCATGGTGTCCAACACTCCAGAGTGGCCAGTTAAGAATTCCATTGTTGAGTGGCCAGGGAGCAGGATGGAGTTTTAAATTACAAGGAAACTCCAAGGACTGTGCACTGCATCTGGGGAAGCCCTGAAGAGAGGGGACCAGAGTGCTGGACACAGTTCCAAGAGGGCACCTTTTCAAAAGGGCATGCGGCAGGGAGCTGAGTGAGGGAAGGATGTGGCTAGGTGGGCAGCCTGCACCTGCCCCATCCCTGGGGAGGGTACTGGGCAGGCTCCATCCAGCGTCCAGCGTCCAGCGTCCAGCATCCAGTGTGCTGGTAGCTCGTCAAGACCCAGGGCAGCATAGCCAAAGGACCTGGGTTCTTACCTAGTTGAGAAAGCCTCCCAGGCCCTGGCTCACTCTAGGGGGAGGGTGACCATTCTTGGACAATGTCAGCTTGGCCATCTGCTGCCACACTGTCCCCTCAGAAGTGGACAGCAGAGCTGGGCAAGCTGGAGGAGAAGGTAAAGGCGCTGACAGAGGAGAAGGAGCGCCTTCAGCAGCAGCTACAGCAGCACCGGCCCGTGTCCTGCACCTGCTGCGTCCTGTGAGGCCCCGCAGCGGGTGGCAGGCAGCATGGTGCCACTCCCCTGGGCAAGGTGGGGCATCCCGGTGGAGTAAATCTGAGCAATAAAACACACCCGGCCCTCGCAGAGGTGGGCCGGAGCTCCAGCCTCCTCTCCTTCACTGCACACACAGCTGCCATGTACGTGGCTTTGCCCGAGCAGACCCGGTCTGCAGGGCTGACTGTGCTCGGCACATCCCCAGCACACCTCACTTTCAGAACGAAGTTGGCCAGTTACCCTACAGCTGAGCTCTAAGGGACTGTCCTTCTCCCTAAGTGCTCCTTTTGCACAAGCTGGAGCCTGTGACTCTAATCTCCTGCATGGCCATAAAGAAGTCTGTCATCCTGAGAAGAACCCTCACAGCCAGCAAAGCGCATTCGGTAGTTGTGGTTATGGCGTAAACTGGACACCCTGCAGCCCCACCCGGACTTGCTGGAACTTGTAATGGTCAAAGCTCCCTAATAAACTACATGCTCCTAAAATGCAAGCGGTTATTGCTAGGACACTTGGTCAGCCAGCCAGCTGCTGCTGGGCCATGAGTCCCTTGCTCAGGCCACCTGTGCCCAGAAGGCAGAGCCCAGTCGGGGCTCCTGCCACAGCTCTGGAGGACAGAACGCGGTCGGTCTCTGGCTCAGCTGTCTTAAAAGACCGTGTGCCTGGGACAAATCACCTGCCTCTTTACCTCAGTTCACCCGTACACCGGTGATGGTGCACAGGGGCATTTTGTGATCATCAGGCAGTGCCCTGCGTCTGTGTTGACTATGGCACACAGCAGCGTCTGCCCAGGAAGGGTCTGACTCCCATTCTAGGACACTGTGGCCCCTGGGGAGGATTCCCGCTCTGGCCATTTCCCCTGCTGTCCCCACTAGCTGAGAGACTAAAACCAGAGTACCACTCCACCATGCCCATTTCCCGCTTCATCTGGAGCAAAAGTCCCTGTCACCTCAGCACCTCCCCGTTCTTGTGCCAGCCGCACCAATTCAGGGCCTTTGCGTTAGCTGCTCCTGACTGGAACCCACCTGGACTTGCTGGAACTTACCCTTCCCCTGCACAGTTGCATGACTCTCATTTCCTCTGTACCTACAAGTCTGTGCTCAACCTTCCTATTCACCCTTTTTAAATCATACCTCTCCGCAGCTTCCTCTCCCTTCTTCTGCTTCCATCCTTTCTCTACAGCACCGTCATACTGGTATTTCCTCCACCAAAATGTACATTTTGGGGAACAGGGATTTTGGACTACATTCAGAACCTAACACATAGTTGGTATGTGGTACATACCTACTATTTGCTGGTGAAACAATCAAGATACGCCTTCATTTGGGGTCTGAACTACCAGAAAATTATGGACCTTTGTCAAAGTGGGCATTTCACAGAACTGGGGCTCCATGGAACCACTTTAATCACCCCACTTGCTTGGTCTTAAAGCCCTTGGCCACATCCTACAGAGTAGACACAGAAAAGAACAGCTCTAAAAGCAAGCCTTTACCCCATCTGCCAGGTGGGGGACGGCTAGACCAATCACTACTGCTGAGACCTGGTTTTCCCACGTATCAAACAGGAGTCAACCTCAGCCTTCACCACCATTCACACTGGTTACAGGGACAATGTGGTCATATAGCTGCGTGCACATTGCCAAAATCCTGCTGCAGGGTCACTAAAGCTGCTTGAGAGCTACAGGAATAAAGAATAGCTGGGCACAGTGGTGCACTCCCATAACCCCAGCACTCTGGGAGGCTAACTGAAAATTCAAGCCCAGCTTAGGGAGGCCCTATATCAAAAAAAGTTTAAAAAGAGCTGGGAATGTAGCTCAGTGCAAAGACCCTGAATTCAGTCCCCACAAAACAAAAAAACTTGGGCTGAGGATGTAGCTTAGTGCTAGAGCATTTGTGTAGCATTCACAAAGCCCAGGGTTCATTCCCAGCACCATAAAAAATTTTTAAAAAATCATTACTTGCTGGGCACGGTGGAACACACCTGTGATCCTAGCATTCAGGAGGCAGAGGCAGGAGGATTGCTGTGAGTTCAAGGCCAGCCTGGGCTAATACTAAGTTCACAGCCAGCCTAAACTGCATAGCAAGACCCTGTCTCAGAAAAATAGAACTTTACTTAAAAATGGTGGTCAGTGTTTCTGGACACTTCTCACATGCCAGGCACTGTATTAGACGTTGATCCAGGCCTCACAATCCTCAGAAATGCTTTTCCTAGGATATAGCTGGTTTCTATGGCAGAGTGAAGTCAGAGTGACCTTCGTTGCTCCAGACTGCTCAGAACAGCTGTCTGATCTCCTTGATCCACAGGAGGATCCAGGAGGGATGCTGTGGGTTTCCTCCTACTCTGTGCCATCTGGTTGGGCCCTTCTTTTGTTAGTCCTGTCTGCACAGCCAGCACTGTGGGATTGACTGGACTCTGCAAAGCCCTGGGGAGTCACAAGAGGTCCCTTTCCTTAACGGTTATGAAGGTGGCTGGCACTCAGGGCAGAAATTTGACCACAGAAGACTCTGCCAAACCATGCATGTGCAGCCCATGGGCATACCCCTCCCTCAGCATGAGCGCTGGGGCCATGGGGGGAGAGGGTAGAGTCATGCTCCATCAGTGTACTCAAAGACAAGTTCACAGAGCTCTGTGGAAGTGAGGGTTTCAGTTCAGTCTGTGAGAAGTACACAAAGGCAGCTCGCGCTGGGTCCAAAGGCAAGAAGATGGGCTTCCTGGCTTCAGGGGCCGTGGTACCCTTGGACAGTGAGTAGAAGGACAAAAGGCAGCCCAGTTCGCTGGGTCTTTCTGAGGTAGAGCTGAGCCAGAAGCTGGTGGGACAGAAAGAAAGACTTTCCTCCTCTATCCTGTATCTCAAATTTCAGCAGGTGGAGGCTTTACTACTGGTGAGCAGCTGGGCCTGAGGCCTGAGTCTCAGCAGAATGCAGGTGTTTCCAGAGGGTGGCTGGGTGCCACTTCCACCAATGTCCCCCAACTTTACTTTGGCATGGAGATGAGCTGCTGGGCCTGTGCGCTGCAGGCTAAGTGGGAAGAAAGCAGTCCTGCTGCCTCAGACAGTCCTTGGTCAGCCGCTCCCAGCTGCCGGTGAGGTGCCCACATCCAGTGGCCGGCAGAGGGCCCCTGGCACAAGGCACTGCACCACCCCCTCCGTGCGCGCAGTCACACGGCGCTCAGTGCCCATGCTGCTTTTCATCTTCCTCCACACCTGAGAACCACGATGGACAGCTCTGTGGGAGAATTCCACTTCCTATTAACAAGAAAGGCTCCTCTTAGTTTTGAACACTCAGTCGGAAGCTGCTCCTCTGGAGGAATGCCTGGTGTCCCTGGCAGTGTGCTCCCCCTTTCCTACCCAGCCAGTCACAAGAATGAAAACCCAAGCAGGTCTCGTATTCTGCATTGTTTATTTCTTAAGAGTATACATCGAGCTCAGCCAGAATAAAGTGAGCACGTGGCTGTGCCATCTATTTCATCACAGTAAGAAAATAGCTCTCCATATTGCATCTCACCTACAGTAACACCATTCTGGAAGAAGAAAGTACCCTCGAGTCAAAGCTATCTGTAGATGGGAGGGTGTTAGGGGCAGTTCCCCCAAAGGTGTTTTTAAGTGACCCCTTGATGCAAGGAGTGTCCCCAGCCCCAGGAATAAGAAGCAGCACAGGGGTTTAAAACCGCACTTCAGAGACACAGGCTTCTTCATGGCTACATAGGAAATTAAACTGTCCCCTTGGATGAGGAGGACCAGCCACAGTTGGCACCACAAGTCCCCGTCAACTCGGAGCAGCACTGAGGTTTCAGCTCTGGTTTCATGGCTCTTAGAGGCAAGCTACACACGCAGGTTACCAGCACCAAACGTCGTCAGAGGTAAGAGCTGCAAGGACCTTCTGGCTTTGGCGAGTCCATGTGGCACACTGCAGTGGCCCAGGCACCCACAGGAACGCGACAGGCAATACACTCGAATCCATGATGACGCGAGGTAGTTGGAAAAGCAAGGTTGATGGCCTCCCGCCAGCCCTGGCCATCAGTTCCTGACCTGATGTCCAACTTCTCATATCAGAAAGTGATGAACTACAAGGAGCGCTACACCCCACAGGCAGTGCATCCTGTCAAAGGAGCCAGTATACATGATGGGACGCGCAAGTGACAGTTTTCCAAATGCCTTTTCCCCATAATAAAATAATCTTAATAAAAACATAATTTAAAAGAAGTGTCAAGGGAGGGGAGGGAATTGGGGAAAAAAAGAAGAATCAAGATATATCACGTACAGGTACAAATTCCCTATAATGAATGTGATCATTATGTTTATCTAAAATGTACCAATAAAATAAAAGTGTCAAAAGCCAAGTGTAAAATCATAGTTGTAAACTCCAAGTCAAAGGTTCTCTTGAATCATCCCTGTTTAAAAAAAAAAAAAAAAGCAATTACATGATGCATATTAAGTAGAAAAGTTAATTTTCTGTCAGTTCTCATGGGGAACAATGCCTGTTTTTCACAAGAGAACAGTCCTAGGATGAATAATTAAAGCTAAAATTGTAATTCCTACAGAATCGAACATTTTAAGACCTCACAGCCACCTCTGCCTTGACCTGATACAAGCACCTGCCCCCAGCCCCAGGCCAGCCGGAACCTACTAGTAAGATCCCTGGTCTCATTTCAGACCCCAGATTCCTGACCCTCTTTACTGGCACAATCTCTAATTCCGACTTTTTGTTTGTTTTTGAAACAGAGTCTCACTATGCAGTTCAGGCTGGCCTGCCTTAGCCTCCCGAGTGCTAGGGTACAGGGTGCGCTTCTGACTTTTACATTCAACAACAGTGTCCACAGTTACTGCACTTGATAAACTTACAGATCTTGTTATTACAAACACTGACATTCAAAATCTGTTTAATAAATGCTCAGCTTTTGCAGGATTTCTGAAATAAGCAGCAATCAACGCCAAGTTATATGCAAGCAGTATCTTCCTTAGGTACTTCCTGACGTGAGGTGCTGTGTAATTACCCACCATACTGTCATGCCTGTCACCTCCTTCACAATCTCCAAGTTCACAGCTTCATAAAACAACAGGGCCTAAGCACCCAGCCCACCCAGTTGGCCAAGCACCTGGCACCCGCATCCTGCAAGAAGGCCAGAAGACACTGGCACAGTGACTGGTATCCACCACCCCACACCAGGGCGGCCCGCCCATGTCCACACTGACCTTACTACTTCCGTTTTCTGGCAGATAAACTTTAGCACTAAACTTCCATGATATGCTTGTAACCTCATGTATATACCATTTAAAAAAAAAATAATAACAAAACTTAGATCCATCACTTGGGCTGGGGAGGTAGCATGCTTGCTTAGCTTGCATGAGGTCCTGGATTCAATGCCCAGTACTGTAGGGGGAAATATCACTTGACATTACCAGATCAGTTGTGATTTATTGATGGAAACTTCAGTTCAGTGATTTCAGAGTCAGGAGAGCTGCTCCCACTTCTGTCACTGTAGGTGTCCCTGTAGAAATGAGAAGGCCGATTCATCATCTCCCACCAAAACCTCACTTCTGTTTTTGTAGGCACCATTACGACAGACACGTGTCCCCACAGCAGAAATCCAACTCTTTACTGCATACTGTATTTGGCATGAGGCTGCAGATGAATTTTTTCCTCTAGTTCCAAGAGATATACACCTATTTATACCCCGGTCTTCCCATGCTACCCACCAACTCTGAATAACCAGTTCAGATGAAAGCAGCAATGGGGCAGAAATCCCCCAGCAGGGTGGCTCACTTCCTGTGGAAAACCAGTCACCTTAACACAGATCACAGGGGTCTCTGCTCAGCATCGCCAGAACCAGGTGCAGCAAAGAGGGGGAGCAGCCAAAGAAAACCCTAGGGACAGAGTGGGAACCTGCACAAAATGTGAGCAGTGTGCGGCACCCACCCGGGATACCTAGCCCCGGAACCTGGCTCTGTCCTAATAGCAGTATGACACCTCACTGTGGTGAGTCAGTAACCCCACAGGACTGGAGAAGACAAGGAGCTGGCTCCCGAAGCAACGTCCCCACCTGGGCGAGAGCCTGCAGCCTTTCTGGAGGTAATGCGGAAGCTGCCCCACAGAGGCCAGGAGGAGGCCAAGGTAGGGTGGAGAAGGCTTGATAGGCCTGGACAGGAACTCAGGGTGGTACTGAACCCCAACAAAGAAAGGATGATCTGAAAGAGAAATTCAAAGGATCCATATGTATACTGTAATGCAATGTAAAAGCGGAAAAAATTTTGCTGAACAGGCCTGAAAATTATTTGAAAGTAACATCACCATTTGAATCTAAGTAATGGTAACCCAAAAGCATGAGCAACACGGCACCCTTTCACTCACACTGCTGTTTCCTCGAGGCTACGGGGCCTACGCTCAGGGGCCCATCCCAGTGGCCAGCCCCTGTGACTCGCATAGCCTGAGTCATGTGGCTCACTTGGTACCATGTCCAGCCTTCCACTCTGCAGGAGGAGCTGAGGGTAAAGGGCTGTTCATGGAAGGCCATGCACCAGAACGAATTTCCCAGGGCTCTAGACCTCTCATCACCAACACCCTTTCCCTCAGGGGAGACAGCTGTTTCTTAATCCCACCAGGTCAAGAGCCAGACGCACAGTATTATACTTTCCCCCATGACAAGAAAGCCTTGTGAAGTTTTCCATTAAACACAGCTGCCCAAGCAATCACCTTCCAACTCCACAATCTCCATCCTCTCGCCTTCAACATCTTGGCCAACAAATCTCAGGCCTTGCTCTTCCAGGCACTTTTTCAAGACTGGATTCACCTGTCGAAGCATGAAAAACAGTTGTGCTGGGCTATCCACGCTCTGTCCAGGGACAGAAGAGACCACACTCGAGTCCTCACCTCAAATCGATGGCGGTGCCTCTCTTCCAAGTAGTCTAAGTCTCCATAGAGTTTCCCTGGGAAAAACGAAAACAAAACCAGGCTGGCTGTGGGACTTCTGATTTCACAAATCACTCATTCACAATGGCAGCCTGCTTCACGGTTCACTTTTTTATTGTCTACGCAGCTGGACTACTACAATTCTGCCAACCATGGTCACCTGTTCTTCCCACAACCTAGACTAATTCTTGGGCTTCTGGTCCCTTCTGACCATGCTAAGGAGAACTATCATGGAGACAGGCTTTCACTGCCTCCATGGGACACACTACCGCTCTCAACTGCACCTGGGAGCAAGCCTGGGAAAACAGACTGGCACCTACCAAACCCCGAGAACACAAGGGGAAGGAGACGGCTCAGAGCTACCCCGACGACCCCTGTGGATGTGCAGGTTATGTCACAGCCACCAAAGCTGTCAGCGCCTGGTGGTTGTGGGTAAACAGGAGCTGATGTGCAAAGAAGCTGCCTCACCCATTCCCTTTCAGATGCCTAATGAGACCTACAAAGCCACAAAACATCGCAGCGTTAAAAGGATATGATCAGTACTCAAACTAGGCTGCCAGGGAACTCAGACAGACACAAGGGCATTTTTTTCCAATCAAAGTTGGAATGTTCCCAATGGGCAAGGAAAAAAAAACATGCTCTACTAAAATAATTTTCTTAAATGTTTTTCACCTATAATTTTCCTGAATCTTTAGCATCTGTGAGTAATTCTTAGAACAAAATTCTATTTAGACTGAACCACATAAACCTGCCATTTTTGTACAACAAAAATCATGAGATTTCATACTGTTTCACTGTAACAGTACTAGCAAAGTAAAAGACTGCAGTGGAGCTAATGTAACTGCCTCAGCCTGCGAGGAGTCCAGAGCCCAAGGGTGTGACTGCATCCACAGTGACCTCCCTAAGACCCACGCTGCTGCTCTACCTATTAAGGTGCACCTAAAGAGTGTGAACAGGCAGGGGTAAAAAGAGCCTCAAAAGCAAGACAAGACAAAAGAAGTGAGCCTGGCTCTGGAGCCACAGCACCACCCAAAGACGTGCGTCCTGGACAGCCGAGCCGAGGCAGCTCTTACTCAAGACAGAGTTCTTGGTCTGGAACAGGGTTCTCCGCTTGCCCAGTCTCATGGTTCCGCCCATCTGCCCAGGGTTGTGTTCTGGCATTTCTATGACCTGGAGATGTTCAGAAAACAAAGACGGTCTACCCAACACTGCTTCTGTTAGAAGCAACAGTCCCATCACCAAATGGCGCCTGTGTGTGAGTAAGCAGGCTCCACCGTGCCAGTTGTGCCCAGTAAGAGACGCTGCCATTGGGAAACTATCTTCCAATTAATCATTTGTAACCTCTAGGCCAAAGGTTCAACCCTTCAGCCTGTCCTTGTGATGCTGTTCCCGCTCCCGGCACTGGGGACCACCAGGGCCACAGGCTTTTACACATTCCGAGAGCAACTAGTGCAGCAGCATGGATCCGAGAGCAGCTGGTGTGACGCGTGTCTCCCCACGTGCAGGCCTGAGGCACTGCTCACAGGGAGGGGTGCGGGGCCGGCATTCAGCAGGGGCTTAGCAAGTGCCTGTGAATGGGTGGGCTGTGGCACTCAGAAGGGACAGCCCGGCTCACCTTCCAGTCCAGTGCTCCTGAACACCTTATAACCCCAGGATATCCCTGCGCCACTCTCCCACCTCACGACCCACCCTTCAAAATCTTTGTTCTTCTCCTCCTGAGGCCTTCACATTAGCAAAGTTCATTGCAGGTCAACAAACGTACACTGATGCTGTCCAAACGCCAAGAAATCAAGAACCTTTCCCATCTCATTTATCAGCGTCCTCAGTGACAGAAACAGTCTCTAGGACATGTATTCAACCTTTGTTGAATGCTGGTGCAAAAATGCCTTTTAACGGCCTGTCTCTCCTAGGCTATGGGTTCAAAGGTGAATAAAGGCACTGTTCTTCCCAATGAGCCATAATAACCGAGTAGGCTGACAGTGCCGCACACCGCTGCTATTAGGTACACTGCCAGGTGTACCATCCCGGAAAGGCTTTGGTTACTGGGAGACAAATCGGCACCACACGATGGCAGTGCTTTAAGCACATGCCTATCTCCCAGGGCAGCTGCCAGGGAAAACACGAATGAACAACAGGGTGACAACAGGGGCTGGTGCGCATCAGATGCCTATGTCAGTGCTTCCCATCAGTATTTGTAAAGTGCTCTGGGGGCCAAGGGGAGCGGCATGGGGAATTATTTTAATCAGCAATCCCCGCAATTGGCTGGGCTGATTCCTGTCTCAGAGACTCTGGTGAACTGGAAAGACTAGTGCGGGATTACACTGTGCAGCTCTTCCTGTCTGTCAGATCTGTAAGCACACAACCACGAGGATCTCTGGGAGGAGTTACAGGTGCTCACTGCCTGTTTCTACCATGGACTGCATCCTGAGCCCCTCCCGGCTCTTTCTAAACCCCAGAGATCCAGGCACTTGACTCACCACGGGATGACTGGTCTTGGGGTCAAACTCGGTAGAATTGGCATCTGAAAAGTTAAAATACTTGAGTTATAAAAATAGCTAAAAACAAAACCAATTACTTAATATTTTATTGCTAAGCGCTAAACTCAATCACCATCACCTCCTTCAGTTTAAAGACCAATGATGTGGGCCGGGGATGTAGCTCAGCGGCACAGCGCCTGCCTGGGAAGTACAAGGTCCTTAGTTCGATTCCCAGCACCAGAAAAACAAATCAATGATGAGAACAAAAACTAGGGACGTTCAATAGATGAACATGGGTGAGCTTTTTCTATCCAATTTTTTAACTTTCTGGAAAGTCAAGCTGTACAAAATGGGGAAATCAAAACCAATGGTATAACCTAAAAATCTTTATTAAGGGAATGTCTTTATCACAGTTCTTTTACTGTTATCTTCGTTTTCTCACATCTTGTTGCAGACTCTTTCTCTCCTTCAGACTGCTTTGCTTACAGCACTTTCTGAAAATCTACTATCTGTGAGTTGGGCTAAGGGAACAAACGGCTGTGGCAGATTATTCGACGGTGGCCCCATGAACCACATTGCCAGTATCCATGTCCTGCGGCCCTCTCCCACACTGGGCTTCACCTGTGACTCGCTCTGGCCAGTGAGATACTGGCCAGTTTGACAAGCGATTGTGCAGTGGGCCTACAGTCTGCGAAGTCAGCTGCCACCATGTATGAGGAAGCCTGGGCACCATTACTGAAGTCATCATGCGGAGCCACCAGCCCAGTGTCCCTGCCAGGCTGAGCATACCACCGAAACCCAGGCAGGGCTGAGTGACTCTAGATACACTACAAGGAGCAGAAAGCCAGCCAGCAGAGTCACCCATAGGACACTGAGAGGTGGCGAGTTGAGGCTGTTTAAGCCGCTGGAGTTGAGGGTATTTGCTAATACAGTTAGTGGACAAATCTGATGTTACTTCAGTATTTCCTACTTGCCAGGAGCTGCTAGGGACTGCTTGTGTGCATTATTTTACCTTTTTTTTTTTTTTTTTAGTTTTGGAGCTTTAACCCAGGCAGCACTGAGCTACATCCCCAGCCCTTTTCTTCTGAAGCAGGGTCTCAGCTGGCCTTAAACTTGTAATCTCCCTGCTTCTGCCTTCCAAGTAGCTGAAATTACAGGTGTGGACCACCACGCCCAACTATTTCACCCAGTTTTTCAACTATGTGAAGTGGGCACCATTTTGACTCCCATTTTACAGAAGAAGTAGAGCCTTGGACAGTCTAAGTAAGTTGCCTAAAATCTCTTAATTAGTGGTAAGTTAGAACAGGCAGTTCTAGAGCCCAGGTTTATAACAACTGCACTGGTCTCCCTTAGGGTGGTGTCTTCTTGGCGAGCACAGACTGGATGGTGACCCTGGTGGTCAAAGGGAGAATCTCAGGAACAGAACACGTGGGGAGGAGGCCAGGGCTGCACTTCCCTCTTCCTGCTCCACGCACTAGGCACCAGCACCCTCCTCACAGCGCCCCACCGCCCACCGCGTAACCAGGCCAGTGTCCCTCCAGGCAGCGGTCCTGTAGGAATCTGAGTCCTGAGATGCACTTACCTTGCCATCCTAGCACGTTTCTTGAAAACTCAACCACTGCCAACTGCATCCCTAGGCACACACCTTGCAGGGAGAGGGAAAAGGAAAAGAAGCTCTGTTGAGACCGTAGCTCCAATACCTCCCCCATCCACCTAAGACCCCGCCTTGCACGGTCAGTCATAACCACAAATTCTTAATTTCCTGCTATAAGCAACCACATTTTGCTGCTATGCTTCATCTGTATTCAATTTTTAAAAAAAGCAGGATCTAAGTGTACATGAAGAGTCCCAGGTTCTGCAAAGTTAGCAATCTGAGAAGCAAGCAAAATTCAAGTCTCCTTACCACCACCTCTCATGGAGTTCTCATTTACAACTGATCAAGTTAAAAATTACTCAAGTTTACAGCACCAGAAAGCATCCAAAATCCCTATTCCCAATTAAAGTCAACTGGTGCACCAAGTGAGGAGGACATGAAAGTCTCACATGCACGCAAATAGAGCTTCCTGGTGGACAGTCCACCCTAAGCTTCCACGGCACCTATATGTAGCTTATACACTTCCATAAGGAAAAAGAAACCGAATGTCTACCAAAGAGAACCACAAAGACTTCTATCTGAGCTCCTATATATACAGACAAGATGCATGTTCTGTTTCAACCCTGCCTGATTTACTGCCCCCGTCCCCTGGGTGCATTTTCCTCCTCTGTACTAGTCAGAAAGAAGGGATTACACAGCATAACTCCTTACCCAAAAAAGGCTTTTTCTGTTTCCGAGCCCAGGAAATTGCTTGGATTTTTCCTTCAGTTCCTCGAACACCAAACCCTCCTGGAACCAGCACACCACTGCACAGGAGAACAAGCACAGGCACAGCCCTGTCCATCAGCCCAGCTTGCAGCCGCCACCCAAGAAGCCACTGCTGAGACTCTTGACAGCGTGAAGTTCCCGCATCTGTTTTGCTACTGGGACTAAGATTATGCTATGTAAAGGCATCAGTGAGTTGTATATTGAATTCAGAAACTGCGGACAAAACTGTGGACTTAGTCATGTAAGAAAATGCTTATATGAGTGGAAAAAGAGATGGGGCACACCACTGTAATGGGGCTCTGCCCATCTCAACTACTTTGGTATAATTTTGAATACATATTAATACAAACACAGTTTACTTCTCCTTTCCTCTTTGCTCACAGTGCTCCTGAATCAGAAGGGCCTGCTCCTCAGCAGAGTGCCACACTGACCAAGCATCTCAGCAGCACGTGTCCAGCTCGAAACATTCAGCTGCTCCAGTGAGCTCTAGGTTCTTGCTAAGTTTTACTATTAAAAATAATAGCTGCTAGGACTGGAGGTGCGGCTCAGTAGCAAGACTGCCTAGTGTCCATGCAGCCCTGGGCTAATCCTCGGCACTATGAAACAAAGAGAAAGAAAAGGGAAGAAAAAGGATGGGCAGGAGGAAGGAAGGGAGGGGGAAGCCGCCAAACAAATGTGAGACGCGACTGATGGCTACTTATCAAACGTCCCAGATGAAAACTTTAAATAAATCTAATGATGAGTTGTACACAGTACTAATAAAATTAAAACTGGTTTTCTTCAGCCCCAGCTATACTGGCAAGCAGCATTTTTTGAGAGGCTTAAATCACATAATAGGTAGTCTGTTCAATAACTAAAAAATATTTTAACAAGTAGATGAACTGCTATCTGCACTGAACGTGCAGGACCAGGTTTGCTAATGCAAACCAAGCCCCTGGCCACGGCCAGAGAGCACTACTTACTGGGCACTACAGAGCTTCTGCCACGCTTCGTGGTAGCGTACAGGCTCCTCCTGCATGGTGCTCAGCTCCAGGTCCGTGGAATCTATGTACTGGGAACCAGGGCAGAGGAGAGGCAGCTAGTGATTCCCAATGAACTTCTATGACTTGAAATAATATTGTCAGTGTTGCACTTCCAATAATTTTGGTTTTAAAGTAATATTTAAATTTAATAACTTAACATTTTAAATATAAGATTTTAAAATGTGAGCATTTTCCTTCAAAATTGTTTAATTCCAAAGCTGGGTGTGGCAGCTCATGCCTGTAATCCCAGCACTCAGGAGGCTGAGGCAAGAGGATCGCCACAAGATTGAGGCCAGTCTGGGGTACATACTGAGTTCAAGGCCAGCCTGAACTAAATAGTGAGACCCTGTCTTAAAAAAGCAAAACTGTTCAACTCCAAATCTGGCTTCATCTACTACAGACAGTCTGTTTGAACCTTGGCCCACCTAAGCCACTGGGAGACACTATGAAACATGTTCTCTGGTGTGTTCAAATGACACTCTTCCAGGCCATCCTTCCCCAGTTTCGTGTTTCTGTTTTGTTTCATTTCTGAACAATACTGATGTTATTTTACATACAGTAAAATACAAGCGTTTGTCTCGTGGCTGGCTTCTCTCGCTCAGTGTTTCTGAGGTTCATTCTAGTTGCTGTGTGTAACAATTTGGTCCCACTTTGCACTGAGTAGTTTTTCATTGTATAAATAATCCACAATACATCTATCTACTGACCTGTTAGGGGCATTTGGGTTGTTTCCAGGCGTAGCTTACTAGGAATAATGTACCTATTTGTATAAAAATGCTTTTTTTGTATGAACACATTTTTGAACAAATATCTGGGATTGAAATTCTTCAGTCTTATCTACTTTTAAACTGCCAGACTATTTTCTAAAGTGCTCACATCAAGGTATGCAAGTCCCACATCCTCATCAGCACTCTTCACCACCCTAGTGGGTTTCTCACTATGATCAATTCCCACTTACTCCCCTGATAAGTAAAGGTAGGTCTGTCTACACTCTTGCTACTGACAGCGGCAGGCAGGGCCGCATCCAAACATTCTACCAGCTCAGCTTCGGTTTGCCACAGTGCAGATTAGGACAGTTAGCCAGGCAGTGCCATGCACCACATCTGTCCACCAGCCCTCCCATTTCACAGGGCAGTTGTATGTGATCACCTGATCCTCAGATCCAGGCGCTCAGTCTCTCCCTACCTCTACTCTGACCAGCCTTCCCCTTCATTATTTTGGATAATACTCTACTGTTTTCTCAGAGCCAGGAGCTAAATCCTTCTTATCCTTAAAAAGAAATTGAGAGTTCCAAAAACAAAGCAGATGTGCACACAACATCTACAAGAATACAGACCATTTCCCTATTAACCTTGGCTGTGCCTGCATTAGCCCTCCTTACCTTAATTTCCAATTTGTGGTTGATTGCCAATGCAGAATGCTCTAGTGCCTTAATGACTGAGGCATATGAGTCTGAGAACTTGGTGTATTTGCCCACAAGAGCAATAGAGCAGGTCTCTAGCAATCGATCGTATCTATAAAACAAAGGTCAAGAAATACCCAATTAATTAGAATGTATACACCATCCCAAGACCAAGAAGAGAAGAACAAAAAACTGTGAAGATGTAATAATGGGAGTGAATGTCACACCTAAGTGTTACATATAAATTAGTAAAGAAGCAAATTTCAGATTAACCTGACAGACTCTGTAGAGAAAGTAGGATTTCAGAAGCTGTTCCAAAGAGACAGTTTGAAAATCTCACACAAATTTGTTTTTTAAAAATTTCGATCCCAAAGGGGAAAATTTTTTACATAAACAGGTAATTTGCAAAATAAAAGGGTCAAACAAGTTATAGGGCATTCACACAACGGAAAGTACACACTTGCTGAAAATTTTCCTTGCAGTTGGTAACAAAGCACAATGTTTATAACGTTTTACGAATAAACTGGACCATAAAACTGGACCATTGTGATAGCTACATGTAAATGGACACGTAAGCCAGGAGTGGTTGCGCAAGCCTGTAATCCCAATGGTTGGGAAAGGCAGGAAGATCACATGTGTGAGGTCAGCCTGGCCTCCCTAGCAAGTTCAAGACTAGCATGAGCTACAAAGTGACAACCTGTCTCTGAAAATAGGGAAGGCTGCATTTAAGAGTAATGTAAAGTAATGAAGGCCGAAAGAGAAAAGGTCAAAATGAAAATAGCTACCACAGAGCAAGGCAGTGAGAGCCCTCCCAAGTGCTTGCTTATCCTCACAGTGACCTAGCAACCATGGCAAAGCAGACCCACTATGCCAAGGCACAGAGGGGAGATCTTGGAAGTGATGAGCAACATCAGAGGGTTAGGGGCAGATGGCAGCAATACCCTCCACTGAGCACTTTCTGGTACAGGGTGAGTGGCATGTTCCCAAAACAGCTCGAAGAGTGGGCAAGCTAGCCAGGAGGCTGTGCCAAGGCCAGCCACTGACCAGGGTACTGGGAATGCATGACAACCCACGGCCACTAGGCATCTGTGTACTGACCGTCTAGCTGGTAAGAGACAAGTGAGACAGGATGTGAATTCCTAACTCTCTGTCTAGAGGCCTGGGAACTGACCTAGCCTTGCTTGGACTCCTCATCTATGATATAATCACATGGCTGCTGTAAGAACTCTGACATCTCTTACCACAAGGACCATTTCTAACATGCGTTGAGAGCCCAACTGCTAATGTGTGATGGTGTGACTGAATCCCCTGACACCCTCCAAAAGAGAAAGGCTGTCCATACAAAGAATTCAGACATGTCCTGCAAATTCCTCCCAGGCTGGCTTCCAGCCATGCAAAAGCCATGCTGTCTCATCCAAAGGAAGTCCCCGGTGGTCCCTTCCTGGCTGACCCAGGTCGGTGGGGAGAGGGATCAAGAGGCCTCAGGGACTCCCCACCCCACAGTCTATAGACCCAGCCAGGACAGCATAAGCTGGACAATCAGGGAGCACACCACTCCTCCCCCAACACAGCAAATTTACACACCAGCAAGGAAGCAGGGTACCACCATAAACAACTAGACACGATCGCACAGACCCATCAGGTGGGAGACAGCAGGTCTCTCGCAAGATATGGGCAGAGAGATAGGGGCCCTGTTTCTCTCACCCCACCACCACCAATATTCTTTTCTGCATTTTCAGAACAAAATGAAGAAAAGCCTGTGGCTAACAGCACAGCCTGAGCACATCTTCAGGTCTAAGCATCAACCCCAGCTCAGCACACTGCTTGCTGGATGACCTAAGCCATTCGCCGCTCTCCCAGACTCTGAAGAAATTCCTTCCATTGAACTGAAACCTTCTTCCTGGTAAAAACCACACTGTTTTCAAATTGATTATCAGAGGTCACCCAGGCCCTTCCGCTACCTTTGCCTAGTGACAGACATTTGGAAGGAGGTGGGATGATGGGCTCCTAGAGGCTCCTCACTTCTGGGTTAGTGGGGAAGGCCTCCATCCTGCCGACCCCTCCATCCACTGGATTCCCCCAGAAACTAGTATGAGAGGCAGAGACGTGTGATCACGAAGAGTGTGGGGCAGCCTGAGTATGAGTCCTGGCTGTACCTCTTTCTAGCTGTGTGACCATGGCCAAGTCCCTTCAGCTCTCTGTGCCTCCATTTTCAAGTGTCTCACTCAAAGCACAGACACTAATAGCTGTGATAGGACTGTGCTCTGGGGGTGAAGTCAGTTAACACCTGCTAAACCGTAGAGCATCGCCTGTTCATAGTTTTGCCAGGATGTGTCACCTAGCATGCGTCATGTGATCCTGTCCTCCCCACTCTGCTGCCAGATGATTGGTCCAAGGGGGTGCTTGACCCAAGGTGGACAATGAGATGCTTTCCAGGGATTCTTAAACGTGGGGTGCAGAGAAAGGAGTCACTTTTTTCCCATCAGTTTAAGTTAAAAGGTATAAAACCCAGCCAGGTTTTCTCCACCATGACGACATTCCATGTGCTGTGAAAGAAAAGGAAGCTAATGTATAGGAAAAAAACAAATACAAAGGACAGAGGAAGAAAGCCCTGGTTCCAGCTGCTCCACAAGGCCAGCAGCATCCCAGCCCTTCTCATAACCCCACTGTTTATCATCTTCTGGCATAACACTAATTTCAAAACTTAGGGCTTAAACTAGGAACCATTTATCAGTTCATGACTCTACACGCGGCAGTTTGATTCTTTTGCTGGTATCCATTGGGCTCACTCACGTAGCTACAGTCAGCTGGGAGCTTAACCAAGGTTGGATGGCCCAGGATGGCCTTAAGGTGACCTAGTATTTATTGAATGCCTACCATGTGCTACG